CTTTGGGGTCCCTAGGGGACTAGTATAAGCGCTATACAAATACAGGCCATTTACCATTTACATCAGGGAACAAACTATACTGGTCTGTGCACTCGATTTGGTTGCCCCAACAACCTTTGTATATTTTCTTTTTTGTAATAACTGGATTCATTTGGTGTGTTTCATGTTTAGAACAGGCTCTATATAAGAAGCCAACACCAGAGGACAATCTTCTACTTCTTATTTTAAAGGTTTAATCACTGCTAACCAACTAACCTCTGCTCTTCCTGTCTAACTTACGACTTCACTGATGACATCATTCAACAGCCGAGGTATCTTTCGCTTTGTTGCAAGCAGGAGGACAACACAGGACTACCAACGAGAGCTTTAGCTTCACTGGGTCTTCGATTTCAGCAATTACAAATTAATTTTTTTCCCGGCTGAGGACCATGGCCTCGACTAATAGTCGAATATAGATAAAACCAGAAGGGGCGTGTTTGGAGGTCTTGTCTCGCTCCTGAAATTCAGATAATTTATCTCCAATTAAAATGAAATTACCATAGAAATGAGAGATTGTTCATTATTCTTAAGCTTCCTTTTAAATGCGCTCATACATTATTTCATTAGACTGACATTTCAAATTAGGAAGTGTGTCATCAGTGACAGTTGTTCATTGGAAAAGTGGGTATTTTTTCCTACATAGTCACAATTTTTGTTACTGCAAATTTTCTAGAAATACTGTGATAAATTTAGAGGCTATATCGCTACCTGTCATATTACTGAATAACACCGGCTTTACCCGAGTTAGCCTCCTAAACCAAAAGTAAAGCCAGTTCCTCAGCCTTGCTCTTTCTTCCCCTGCATCCAAAGACAACAATCTTTGTCTTAATAAGTCAGGTCTTTCTGTGGTTTTCTCTTCACATATGACACCCTGCCAAATGCTGTATCCTCCCTACAGTAATTGCCTGTCTCCATATCAACTCTCACTTCCCACTCTTACTTTGGATTCTTGTTATATCTCCTGGACTTAGCCTGGGCATTTCTTCCTCCTCCGCCAGTAAATTTCTTATAATTTATCTGTAGCACCTGTATAGGTTTCTTTTTTTTTTTTTAAATTGTAGAGTCAAGCTTCAGCCATCTAAGTAGTTCCCACTGTGCAGCCTGAATGTCACAGGGAGAGAGAAGCTTCTTTCATGTGCCTTGAGCAAGCACACAATAATGTCTCCAGTGAAGCCAGAAACAAAGGCACAGGTGTGTGAGGGCAAATAGAAAGAAAAAGACTATAACCTAGCCACTTGTAAGTGTGAAGGAGAAGAAAAGCAGGATTGCATGGAAAGGATGTGAAAAAGGTACCATTGACAGAGGAAGAAATGCAAAGAGTGAGGGAGGGCTTCAGCTTGGTCAGACTTATTTGTGGAGCCGGCTGAGCACCGTTCGAGTTGGTCAGCAGTAGCTACACAAACAAAACACAGAGTCTCTCGTATCACCCTCACACCATAGCTGAATATGTTTCCCACGGCGACTTTATCCGCCCGAGCAGCCGTCTATTCATCTACTCTGCTATTACGTTCAGTCCCTTAAATTACTAGTATGAATGCTCTCTGCCATCTGCTTTTTCGCCAGTGGAGACAATGGACGTCCCTCTGTGCTCGTCTGCTCTGCTGAAGGCACCTCGTTTCAGATGAAAGGTAGACAGAGGGTAGATATCAACTATTGATGAGTTCAGATTCTGTCATTATCTGAAAAGGATGATCCGGGCTGGCGGTGATCCATCCAATTCAATTACTCTCACAGCAACGATAATTATGATCATCACCAGCATTTACACACTCTCTGCAGGAGAGAGCATTAGCTAGCTGGGAAAAGCTGGAGCTCCCAGGCACAATGGCGAACGGAGGCGAGAGTGCATGGGAAATATGAAGACCGCAGTGGGGGGACAGACTGGGTCCTTAGAGTGAAGCACTGGCAAGTGATATTAAGATATTCTCACATGAATATAGAGGAGAATATGAATGATCACAAAAGAAGACAGAAGAGCTCGTGTGATTATTGCACTTG